TTTTTTTTTTGACATTAATTTCCCTTTTTTTTCAGCTTATTTTACTATTAATAGCACAATTTGTTTCGGTTCTTGTGGAATTTTACGTTTGCTTGGTGTTCTACATTTTGTGTGAGAGAAGAATTGAGGTGCTCGAATCTCGATTATCAAACACGACGAGCGGTATATATATATATTCAGTGAAGTGTGATGGGGAGGCTATTTCTGATTCATTTGGAAGGGAACAAGTATTGTTGCAAGCACTGCCGCTCGCATCTTGCTCTGGTCGATGACATTGTTTCCAAGGTTTCAGATTTTATTTTGTTTTTTCGAGTTTTTTCGGGTTTTTCGTGTGCCGATGATGATATGAATTGTTTGGTGTGTCCTCTGATATTTGGATATTTGATTGTTTGTGGATGTTCTGGTTTTAGTGATTGTAATTTCATTGATGGGCTTGTTTTTGTTTTGGTGGGAATTGGGGAAATTTGTAACTTGTGTTCATGGTGGCTTTATAATCTATATGGGCAGCAGAAGAAGCACGGTTTGGAACTTTTTTCTGAATTGAAGTTATTTGTAATGTGCAGAACCATTAGAACCATTACATACAATGAAAATGCTTATGAGAAATGTTTGTTTCGGGTGGCTTCATTCATTTATCAAGGCCTAGGCCAGTTTCATTCCCCTAATTGCTCTGTACTCGAGTATTTCTCTTAAGGTAGAATCATAATTTGATAGGCTTAGAGCGTTGTTAAGTTTGTTTTCCTTCCCTTGTAAACCTGTTCACTTCACATCTCAAGTACATAGTCAGCCGCTGTTATTTCAAGTTGTTTTATATCCCGTTTTTTCGCAATTCAATTCTTCATGATTTCTAATATATATTCCCCTCAATACCTCAAAATATTGTGCTACTTTCACTTGTACTGCATGCATGGATCTTGACCCAATTACATTGCCTCTTTCCAGTCCTTCCAATCCAGGCATGGGAAGGCTTATCTCTTTGACAAAGTGTAAGTTCTTTTATTGTAGTTATTCATTTATTTTCTATATCATCTCAAGGCACCCAACTATAATTGTGATTTAACACATAATATGTTTGCTTACGTCTTAACATCTTTGTGGTTTTTCATAATTTACTGGTAGTTTTTATCAATTTCTGTGAGTTAGGAAAATGAAGTAATTTTGATTACTGCTGACAATAATCCTCCAATTCTTGAGAGCAGAAAATTGATTAGCCTTAAAGGTTTACATTATTGTAGGTTCATATTCCAAGAAATAGTGCCTCTTGATATAATATTAACCTGATAACTTGCTAACTGATGATAGTGTGAATGTTACTGTTGGGGCTAAAGAAGAGCGGATGATGATGACTGGACTGCACACTGTGGTTGACATATTCTGTGTGAGGTGTGGCTCGATTGTGGGATGGAAATATGTGAGACCCTTGACTTGCTTGCACTATTTTATTCTGTAGATAATTGCACATTTTGTTCCTGTGGACCGAGGCTTAGTCTAATTACAAAAAGCTCCAAAATTATTTACAACACATTTAGTTTGTTTGAATATTTAGCTCGTTGAGGGGCATATTCACAATTTTGATATGTAACTGGGGGTCTTCTCATTATTTAGTTTGAAACTTGGGAATCGATTGCAAGTATCTATATTTTTTTGTTTACTGTTTTTTTCTTCGATCCCTAATGCACAAAAATGTTTTTGTGTCTGTGTCATTATCGATGATGTCAGGAAGCTGCTTATGAGAAGACCCAAAAATACAAAGTTGGAAAGTTTATCTTAGAAAGGTAAACAAATTGTTGTCTGTGTTATGCAACACATTTCATATCGACATATGAACCTTTTTTCTTTTCCCATTTTCTTTCTTTCTTTGTTGTTAAGTAGGTTTCAAGTGTTGGGTCCAGATGGAAGCAACTATTCAATGAGTCCAGAGAGCCAAATGACTGGAAGTGATAGTGATGATGACATGGGTCCTTGAGTTCGTACGAGCAAGACTATTTCGAAATGTACATCCTTCACTCTTCAAACCTGCCTTGCTAAATTTAATATATTTTACGATTAGCAGAGGTCCATGTTAAACAGACATCCTGCCCGAACGTTTTTTTTCTTTCTTAAGTTTATGGTTTTTAGAAATGAAATTAACATGCTTGGGAACTTTTGATCTTTTTGCTAATGAAACAATGTTTGCTGCACTCTTAACTCTACTCAAATGGAACCAACAAGTTTTCTGTTTATTTGAGTGAAACAAAAAGTTGTTAGGCTTAGGTCGGTCCTAAACAATGCGACTTATAAATTAGTGACAAACATAAATTAAAAAAAAAAACAGAATTAATATATTTTTTAATTAAAAATTTCTCGTAAATGTATAATAAATAGAAATTTGTAGGTAATCACTAATCAGTCTAATTTTTTTCTTAAGAATACAAGTGGGCCCAGGTTTAATTTAAAACATGACTTTGGAAGTCACAACCTGTGCCCAAATGTGAAACCAACACGACTCTTGAGACCCACAACGTGGGCCCAAACGATTAGTCCATTTTGTATGGGCTTAAAGATGAGATTTTTATCCCTAAGCCTCCAGGAGCCCGACAGCCCATGTTAAACTTTAAAAAAAATAAATTGAAATAGACGGCATCTCTCCAACAGTAAGAGTATCTCCAATGGTATGTCAATTGTAGAATTATAGAGGCATTAGGATAGAAGACGTCTCCAACAGTGAGTTTTTTTACTTCTACATCTGATACATCATATGGCAGGAGAGAGACACAAAACACGTGCATCGCATACACATTTACTACTGGAGACATTTTTATTAACATGCCATTGTCTTCAATACACGTGGACAGAAGGCCGTCTATATATTGCGATATAGACAACAACCATTGAAGATACTCTAACACAGCACAAGATGTACAAACATGTCTATGTTAACCATCTCAATACATTAAAGTTTGACTTTTTTTTATGAAAAATGCTACAATCTCGTTACGAAACCACTTCGTTGGGATTTGTAACCGCTAGATTATCATGTAATCGTCGTGGATAGTTGATCTAATGGTTATAAACTCCGACGGAATGAGTCAGTATAATCTTCCTTTTCTTATATGATGATGGTAAAAAAAAGGGAAATTTTCACCCCTGCTGCCCGAAATACAAATTATTGAAAAAATACCATCTACACAAAAGATATTGTGAATCTACCTAATTGTCCAAAATTAACTACATAAATGCCTAAATTTCAGTTCCATAGAAGTCGGACTCCATCTAATTATCACTCGCGTGATTTGCGGCAGATTTCTTAAAAAAAAGGAGTTTATCACAACAATCAAATCTGACATTTCAATTTTCTTCTTCCCGCACCCGCGTAGGGCATCTGGTAACGGGGTGGGCAAAGGTCGGCTTGCGAAGGTCGCAACCCATCAGAGGTCGGGGCCTGTCGAAGGTCGCCGAATAGAGCTCGAAGGTGAGGTCGTCGGCTGTCGAGGTTTGCAGATCGACAGGGGTTGAGGATCGCGTTGCAATTGGGTGTCGAAAAGGTCAAAACTCGTCGGGAAATGGTCAAGCGTGCAAACTGTCGCCGGAAACAGGACTTGATTGTGGAGTGAGATCGGGCGAACTATGGATGGCTTGGTTTTGCACTCGCGGGATGTGTTCGAAGGCTGGTGTTCGAATACTTGAGGACGTTATATTTTACTAGAAATATACTGGAAATATAAGTAAAATATACCGAAAAAAACGAGGTCTTGAAATTATATAAAGAAAAAAAAGACAGGACAATCATAAATATTTCTAGTTTATTTTAGTTTATTAACAGTATATTTCTAGTTTTAAAAGATATCTTTCATGTTTTATTTAACAATATATCTTTCACGTTTTTATTAACATATATCTTTCACGTTTTATTAAAAGGTGAAAGACGTTCAGGGAGTATATGTGCAGTATAACTTGTTCATAGAAATAAATTATATAATTTTTAATATTTTTGGTTTATGTTCAGCAGTTTAGTTTTATGTGTGCAGCACAAGTATATTTTTGGTTTATGTTCAGTATATTTTATCTTTATGTTCAGTTTATTTGAGGTTTATGTTCAACAATATATTGTTTGGTTTATGTTCAATATGTATATTTCACTAATCACTCACGATTTTGGAGTATATTTCACGTCACATAGAATGTATATGCGAAGTATATTTTGGTATTTGTTCATAGAAATAAATTGCATAGTTTTGATATGTTTAGTTTATGTTCAACAATTTATTTTTATATGTGCAGTATAAGTATATTTTTGGTTTATGTTCAACATATTATATCTTTATGTTCAACAATATATTGTTTGGTTTAAGATAGAAATGACTGAAACAAATCTACCAGACGTAACATAAAAAAAACTACAACAAAAAGGTATCGCATATACCAAACATATAGCAGAAATAAACCATGTTCTACCGTGGCATCGAGATTTGCAAAATCCGGGATGCTCTGAACCGCATCAACTAATGGCGTATCCAACCACCTATCATACATTGGATAATAAAAGAACGACAACAAAAAGGTATCGCATATACCGGACGTAACATAAAAAAACGACAACAAAAAGATCTCGCATATACCAAACATATACTGTACATATACTACAATCCAGTGTCTACGAATTTCAACGTAATGACTAATCTACACACAATCCAAAACCCTAAAAAAATAAAAGCAAAATTCAAATTCCATGCAACCGACCAATCATCTCCCCCCGATTGTGGCGACGCCGAAACCCTCTTTAGAGAACGCCATCGTCGGTGGAGGGAGTAGGACTCCATATAAACCGATTCTCGCATCGCCTACATGTAGATGACTACTGCGGGAACGGCTCGATAGACGATCTCATCGAGGGAGTAGGACTCGGTGGAGGACGGCGTTGAAGGGGACGTACTTGGCGGAGAAGCCGGGCGTGGTGTTTCATCCCCTTATTTCGCCGGTTTTTTCCGAGGATCGCGAGTGATTTTTGTCTTCGCCATTTCAGTAGTTTGAGAAACCGATGGTGATTTTTGTTTGTTGAAGAGGAAGTTTTTCTTCGTCGGCGTTGAAGAAGAAGTTTTTCTTTTCTTTGGAGGTGGTGAACGTGGGCGGTGAGGGGATCTTTTTTGTTGCAGAAGAGATATTGTGTATTAAAGATGTCCATAAATTGTGTAACTTGCCCTTAATTATCTGATAAAAGTTTAAACTGCTACTCTTAGGTATATTAGCAATATTTTAGGCTTAGTTAGGTAATTGTATAAATATTTATATAATGAATGTATAATTATAATATATTTTAGATTGGTGGGTACATGGTGCAATTTCCTCTAAAAAATAGTGGTAAGGTCGAATTTATTATCATGAATGGTACATTTTTTAATCTTTCCCACTGAATACAGTACAAAAATCGATGACAGATCACACTGAATTCAAATCCTCATTGCTCATTTGAGCTGTTGTGTCATTTCTCAAAATAAATCAAACAAAAGACTCTTTTTTTTCATGAACTTCTCGTTCTTTGCTCCCCCAATTTCTCGCGTCCCAAATTTCTGTCATTAACCATACAAATTAAATAAAAAATAAAAAGAAAGAAAAAAGATTTGTAGCTATATTAATTAAGCTGCTACTTGAGTAACAATCTTCTTGTACTCTCTTAATCTCTCTGTGAATTCATCAAGATTGTTGCTTTTTCAGCTAAAAATGGCAGTAAGTGGCTTCAAAGTTCATATCTTTCTACTTTTTAACTTGGCCCATATGTTTGTTCTTACTCCCAATTACAATGGTGTTTGTCTGTGAGCCTGAGCTTTCTAAAGATGGTATCTTTTTTTTCCTAATTCCCATTTTGTGTCGGTTTATTTAAATCTCAAATTTTATTTTTTGAAAAAAAAAAGTAGCAAAAATCTTTTTTTTTTTTTCTTTATTTTATTCCCTCTTTCCTTTTTGCTTAGAGATTTTAGCTTGCCCTTTGGATCCAGAGGAACCAGATTCTTCAATTTTGCAGAGAATAAAATTTTGCATGTGATTGGGAAAAAAAAAAAAATGGGGTTCTTGATAAGGCTTGTAAGTTAATAGTCTTGTGATGTATTTTTTATTTTTTTTTTTATTTTTTTATTTTTGGGAAAAAAAATGCAGGCCTCTGTGCAGTTTAGGCCCCAAAACAGAGATCTTGGGATGATAATGGGAGAGGTAGATGAAGATCTTGCCATTTTCTTGGGAGTTCGAAATGTCGAAAAGGAGAGAAATGACCATACTGCCCCTGTTGAATCTGATGAGTTTGATGAATCAAAAGGTGGTTCTTCTTCACTTGTGTATGTATGTGTGTGATTGAGTGCATGTTTGATTTATGATTTATCTCAGCATATCTCTTAGTGCATTTGTATATATATTCAAGGATGGACAAATCTTGCAGATTTGCAGCTAAAACCTGATTGCTCCTTGCCATTGAATGCTGCTCGAGAAAATATTGTCCCGATTGCCACCGAGGATAATTTCGTCAATTTGGGGGCCGAAAAGAGTGATGGCATTTGGTAAAACAGTTCATATTGGTTGCAGACTTAATTTTCTTGTTCTTTTTTTTAAGATACATATCCATGTAGTGAGGGATCCATAAGTAAAAATTTGCTAGATTGTCTCAATAATCAGTGTTCATATGTCTTATTTGCTTTCTCACAATGGCCTCGATTGTCTTAAACTCGCCGGACGTGCTTTTTAGTCTGAAAATGTTTGTATTCATCTTTGTCAGGCAACTTTATTCCTCTCCACTTCATTCAGTAGAGGTAAACGCACACGATTGCATGATGAATAGCTTTAAAACTCCCAAGATTGAAGCCATTGCAGTGAAATCCGAGGCAAGTAGCACTTTTAATTTCGATTCAAGTGATTATATTATATCTCCTGAGTCGAGCTTTAGCTTAATCTAATAACTCTCTCTCAGTGGCTAAACTCGTTAGTTTCAAGAAATAAAGAATTTTATAAAATTTCGTGAACTATTACTTTTCTTCGACTTATTGAATATCGAGCTCAAATCAGTCGAGTCGAGCCGAGTTGAGCTTTTGCCTGAAAGCAAATAGAAAATAAAAAAGATGAGGGAAAAACATGTTATTTTATTTTTATTTTTTTTTATATTTTTTCTGTCCTTTTGTCTAAAATGAATAATTTCTATCCTTCCACAGGTAGACAACTCCTCCGAAACATCCGATCCCCCGAGCAACAATCCACCGAACCAAAATCCATTCGCATTGCCTAACAAAAGACCCTCATCTTCATCCGGGCCCCACAAACCCTCGAAACCCACCACACGATCAACTCTTCCATCAAAACCGAGGCCTGCTTCACGCCCTTCCACTCCTAATAACACCTCGAGGCCCGGCCCAAGACCCACGACCCTCAAAGCCGTGGGGCCCGCAAGGCCAGCTTCTGCATCCAGAGAGAGGGTGGTGGGCAGGCCCAACGAGAAACCCGAACGACAACAAAAATCGTGCTCGCCTCCGAAAATGCGGGCCCGAATTGCCATCACGGCCCGTCATAGGGCTCGGGAGAGCATTAATAATGATGTGAACCCGGTTTTGATGGGAACAAAGATGGTGGATCGGGTCGTGAACATGAGGAAGCTGGCGCCACCTAAGCAGGACGAGTGTGTTCGTCGAGATCACAATTCGAGGAAAAAGTTGGGATTGGAGAATAATTCGGGTTTCGGAAGGTCTCTCTCGAAGAAGTCGTTGGAAATGGCCATACGACACATGGTAACTAACAACAACACCTTAAGTACACTATACTTTACTCTTTAGCTTTATTTAGGGGGACCAAAAAAACATCGAGCCTTTTTTCTTATTGAAGACAATGTTCGAAACTGATAGTTTCAAAATTTTGGAAAGATAGACAATAATGTGACTATGTCCATGTTCACTCAGCAAGTTTTTACTCTTTCTGACAGGACATCAGACGAAGCATTAGCGACAAATCATAATCCCTAAGCATTCAAAATCTTGCTACATTGAACTTCCGGTTAGAGTTAAACGTTGATTGGCTCTCGAAGATGTTCGAAACTAACATGAGGTGCATCTTTTTTTTATTTTTATTTTTATTTTTTATAAATATGGTGTGAGATAGTTTTATTGAGATATTGCATTTGGACATTGTTGATTTTTTTTTAAGGATGATCCTTTGCAATATTAGTGTGTTTATGATCAGACTGCATGTAAGTTGAAGTAGATGTATGAAGAATTGGAGTGTACTTGTGTGTTTGAAATGAACATTTAATTTAACAATGTAGTAAGGTTTTGTATTCTTAATGTCATACTTTTTTCTCTAAATCAGAGTTAAATATATCAAAAAGTTTTGAGGTAGTCTAATAGTTTGAGTTAAAAATATATATTTGTAATTAACTATATATATATGTCATGAAGCTGCATTTACCTCAGCACATTACATCAAATACAGAGTGTCCTAATTTGAATTTTGAAAAGTGTATTTGTTCTGATTTATTGATTAGAATGATAATTATTGAAGCAGAGTTGATTAAAGCTGTGTATAGCTGTGATTGTGACTTCATTTGAGGTGTCTAAGATTCACTAAACATGCAAATCTTTATACTAAAAGCACTTGAACCTGGATAATCCCTCCCTATATTTTAATTCAAAACGTGTTGATCCTAGGTGGCAGATTCTCACGCTTCGGATGCTGACATGGCGAAAATCTATGCTTCGTGATGTTTTTATATTATTTTTGCACTGGAGTTATATTTGGTATTAGACATAAATAACTTTAGACAATTCATTAACTCAACACCAATGTTGTATAAGAGTATTAGTACTAGTACCTTTTTGTTTTTTAATATTATTATTTACAGATTCATGGTCCTCAATTAGAACATATACTAGCTAATAGTTTGACTTCATGATCATAAAGATTTTGTATGATAAAGAAAGCTACCCTATACAAATAAATTTGATAAGAGTTTTTCTTTTTTTTAAAAAAAAAAAAAAAAAAAAAAAAAAAAATTCTCATAAGCTTCTCTATGTAATTTTTTAAAAAATAAAAATAAAAATATTGAAAATTTTACTTCAATCAACTTAATTATTAACTAGCTTTTCAACCACCAGCCACAAGCTATCAACTCGAAATTAACTTATTATTAATTAATTTTACCAAACACTTTATTATATCGGTTGGTCTTTTAGTCATCAATCAAACTGTCAAAGATAAATTGAAAATTCATTTATAAGCTACCCGCTAACTCGACATCTATGAATATAGAATTCACTAATTTTTTATTTATTTTCATTGGGTATGCTGATCCTATTAATTTTGATGTTATTTTTTTTTTTTCTCAAGTCTACTTGGGACATTAGGAATCCCAAACAACGTTTGCCGCAAGCTGCTCGTCTTGAAATTGATAAAATCATTTGGCATCCATGAAAATAACTTCATTTCAAAATCATATTTCAATTCATATTTCATTCTGTTGGATGTGACGTGTATAATTGCGATGCATTATGAACACATGTCATTCATCAACGAAGTAAAAATATGTATTGAAACATCTTCTATATATTAATTCAGAATGTGTTGAGCCTAAATGGTAGGCTCGCTTGCTCGTGTTTACATCTGTGCAAATGCACATCGAATACCAGTTAGAAATTACAAAAATGATCAAACAAAACAAAGGGTCACTCTCTAACATACATTATGCTACTTTTCCATAGAGTAGAACCATGTTTTTTTTTTTTTTTTTTGCTCAAAACTATTGTAATAATTACTGAAATCCGAAATTCGCGAGCAATTTCCGAAGAGTTCGTCTTCCCCATTGCAAGTCGCCATCCAAGATTTGATCTGAGCCGTTGATTTGCTTCTTCTGATCATCAATGTTCAGTATCGTCTTGTTGCTTTCTTGTAGCATCGAGGCAGATACATTCTCATCAGCTAACTGTGTAATGATAATAGTATGAAATTCATCAAAAAATGATAACTAAAACATTAAAAGTTGCAATCTTGAAAAAATTCTGTGAATCATGCAACCAAATTGTTATATTCACCTCAGCTTCAGTTAAATCCTCAACTTCATGAACTCTTTCCTCAGCAATATCATCATTCTCATCAAGCTCATTTACCACTTTTTCTTCAATCTCCTCCAATGGACTCGAAATTAAGCCAGGCACTAAAACCGGAATCCCTTCATCCGACACTACTGTCTTCTCTTCACCTTTCAAGCTAAATAAGTCGGCACTGTAAATCGCCACATCGTTACCTCCCGATTTTCTTTCTCCATTCTCATCATTTGCACTCATAATATCTCGTCCCTCAAATCCCTCGGTAATATTTTCCGCAACCATGGACACATAATGGGGGCTCACTTGATCCTCTTCTATATAGTTATTAACACCTCCGAGTTCATCAATCGAGTCATTTTCTTCAGCCAAAAATACCGGCTGATTCGAATTCTCACCTTTTTTTATCGACGAATTCGAGTCGAGCAAAGACTCGTCTTTTAAGCTGTCTGAAATTTCCTCCTCGACAGTGTTTTGGAGTTCGGGATTTTCCCAATCCTCATAAACGGTTATTACTTTGTCAGTGTACCATGTTTTGATAAACCTATCTGGACCGGGCTGCCATGTCACATTTTCAGCTTCTCCCTTAAGTACGAACTTATACTCGAGTACCTTACCACTTGGCATATCCTGTGTGAAGTATAATAATCGGGTCGAAATTAAGTAAAAACGAGTCTTTTATGTAAAAATCAAACCAAAAGCTGAACCAAAAATCGATAGACGGTTAAAGTTAAACACTCTTTTTGGCACTACTATACTGCACAATCACTCTTTCCAAGTATTTTGTGTAAATACAATATGAATCAACAAAGAACTAAACAGTATTACTATTCGACAGGATAATCCTTAAAAGAGTCTTACAATTTCTGCAGTCCAAACATGCCCTTCGGACCAAATTAACGGCACCCCATTTGAGGGATCCCACAATCCAACCATTGGATCATCCCCAACTAACAAAAATTTCTGCCCAAATGCACATTCTTTGTGTAATTTGAACCTGACACGAACAATTTTCGGTTTATGCTCTGAAAACAAAAGTTAAATCATACTTCCATGAGTCATAACTATACAGACAAGACACTGAAACCCACCAAAACTCAAAAAAGAAAAAAGAAAAAAAAAAATTGAAACTACCTGAGTCAATTGCTTGTGTTTCTTCAGTTTCATCATTGACCTGCAAAAGTTGTAACAAAACAAAATTGAACAAGAATACATTTATTAGATCATAGCTTAAGCACAAAAATGCTTTTACATTACAGTAATACAGCAGCAACCTGAAATGGGTTGTTCCTAAAAGCTGAAAATTCAAGTTAATTGTTGTAAAATTCAACAGTTGATAAGATTAATTAGCCCATAAATGAACTAAAAGATGAAAAGGGATTAAAAAAACTTCACTAAAGCTCTTCTTACCTATAAACCTCAGACCAAAAATTAACATACTTGAACAAAAATCAACAAGTAATAGAACATTAAATTCCCAAATTTTACATCACCTGAGCAGAAGAAGATGCAGAGATCCAACAAACGCGCTTTAACTGAAACGTCGCTGTAAGGGAAAACCCATTTCTAACACGCTTTTGATGTAAAGAAAAACCCTTACCTTGTCTGCTCAGAGCAATTTCCCTTGAGCAGAAAAGACCCTTTTTCTCTCTGTTATTGTGTGTTAGAAACTTTATGTTTGAGCTCCATAAAGCTTTCATATTTTAAAGATTTTTTTTTTTTTTTTTTTTTCCTTTTCGCCTAACTTTTCTTTGTCAAGGTTGAAGATGAAGAGCTGATGCAACAAGAAATTATGATGATTCAAGAATGATTAGCGAGTGTGTTGGACTGTGTGTGTGTGTGAGAGTGTGATGCAATTGTTTGGCTTTCTTGATTTTTGAGGATATATAGAACAAAATTTCATTTTTCAATATTTTTTTTTAGCCAGGTATTCGGAGATATGCTCCGACTAATCCGTTGGTCGACTCGAGTCGCACACCTAGCAGTGGCGGGTGAGTCTACTAACAAAAATTTTTTGCATCCACAAAGACTTGAATCCGAGACCTTACTTAAACGACATCAAACTGCTTGCCACTTGAGTGAACGCATTGATCATTTTTCGATATTTTATTGAAGTTACCAAAAAAAAAGTACTGTGAATAAAGTTTTTTAGAACCCTGGGAATGCAACAGTGTTAAAACTCTTGAAGGAGAGCTTTGCCGCCTTTATGGTCCTACCCGGCTCGATTCCGGATTAGTCGGTTCCCCTGTGGATCCGGAAACCGGAAGGTCACTGTACCAAAAAAAAAAAAAAGAATTGGGTGCAAGTGACATGTGGAAGCTTGTGGTTGCTGCTCAATTCATAACCAGAAATTGAATTTTAAAGAAAATGGTAAAATAATAATAATGATAATTGTGCAGAATTATGATGCACAGCTAAGAGAATTATAGGAAAAAGAAACTAATTACAAAAACAAAAGTTGAAAACACAAGATTTGGACAAATGGACATTTTTGCTGTATGGGCTGGTAAATGGGCTGGCTGAAGCCTGGGGTGATTTTCACAGATGCTGGGCCGAATTCAACGCCCCACTAATAGGTTATGTAATCGATTAGTACTATTTATCTAATTCTTCCACCAATATATAAGCCACAGCAAGTGATTGTTGACACGGAACCCAACTCTATTGAACCCCACATATTTCACAACCCCTTTTCATATATTTATATTATATTTATAAGGGCTTGAAAATTTAGTTGATACATATCTAGTCTAGTTTTTAAAGTTGTAACACCCCGCTTTTCCATACATATCAGAGTGCATTTTTCGCAATTTCTTTTCTTAATAAAACATATTTATTTGCGAAATCTTTTTCGGGATGCTACTAAAAACCATTCATTGCTTGGAAAATCCGTTATCTTTATTTAAATTTGACCTTGAGGAATAAACGGATTATTTTAGGTCAACTAGCATGTAACACTTTATAAAGAAATCTGTCTTGATAAACCAATTTTAAAATAAAGATTGACATGCTAGTTGAAACATCATAAAGTAACAGCGGAAGTCATACGTGGCAAAACATAGTTGTACAATAATGTACAATGGCTGCTAGCCATATCTCTGACCACGATCCACCAACCAGCTCACTTCTCTCGTCCGACGCTGTTCCTGAAAAACATGATAATAGTGGGAGCGTGAGTACTAAAACACTGTACTCCGCAGAAACTCATACTAAAGTAAACATTAATAATAATTGCATCATCATGATCAACATATGCATATATAACTGAGCTGTCATATCATGTACTGTAACTGCGATCAACCGTAACTGCTACGGGATCGAATGCTGTATCTGGCGGCTATAATATACTGCGCCGCGCCTATGTGCACACTCTAGTGGGCAGATTACGCCACTAGAACTCAGATGGTCTTACTTTGTCTAGCCTCACTGAGCAGGAACTGAACATACATACCTTGAACATGATGACTGTAATTATACTCAATGTAATACTTAGTCTGAGTCCCCACCTGAACTGCTGATCTGAAAATGTAAGTGCTGATTAAGTTTCAAATTATAAACAATTTACTATTTCTATGCTCAGAAATTCCTCAGTTATAACATAGTTAAGATGCTCGAATAATGTTCAGGACCAGCAGCCAGTATACTCAGAATTTTATATCAGTATTCCCCAGTCATGTTTAGCTACTCGTCAAGAGAATTGTGTCCTTTATTGATCAGTTTCAATAAAGTCATCAGTAAGAATGTTGAGTACGATTTCAGAACTCTAGAAAAGGGGCGAGGATTGAGAACCCTAGATCCCATTCTAGATTTATTCAGATTAAGTTAATACCTCATTCAGTGATTTGTAAACAATTATGTTATACAAATCTTAGCAATCATGTTCCTCAGACATTTTTCTATTGAAAATTGTCTGTTTTGCCGATTAGTTGGCATATTCCAAGGAAGGAATTCCTTGAGTTAGACTGGGAATAAGTTCAATTTTCCTAAGTCAAGTCAGTAAAGCAAGTTCAGGGCAACAAAATTTTCATATTAAAGGTTGTTAAAATTTCAAGTTTTATCAAGTAACGGTTTTTCAGTGTATAAGAGCCAAAAGTCCGGGTTACCATGGAGGCTTGAAATAAGAGCCACTAAGTCGGGTATACCATGGAGGCTTGAAGCTGAAACCGGAGCAGCACAGTTCTAGAAGTAACAACCTTTCGAGTCAGCTAAGTCGAGTATCTTACTAGTTAGATACTCTGAATTTAATTGCCAAAGTTCAAAATCAGTTATTTATTCAGTACTTGCGGGACCAGTTGATACTGGAGCAGCCCAAAATGATACATGAGATATAGAACCGCTCACCTGCCCACTACCCACCATTTTTTTTTTCATGAAAAACGTATTCTGAGAATACGATGGGCAGTGCCCACCACTTTTTTTTTTTAAATTTAATTAAAAAACGTATACATTTTTCATGTAAAAAAAAGTGATGGAGACTGCCCACCGTGGGCAGGTGAACAGGACTAACATGAGATATTATAGATATAGAAAAACACTCCTAGAAAATTTAGACATCATAAAACAACTTTCTGGATAAGTCTGGTTGGAAAACAAAAGAAACATGGTCCAGTCTACACTTGTTGACAACCAACAATGTCTTCATCATGACGCAACACGTGTCCATGCTCAGCATACGAGCAAATCTCGCACCTCGATACTGGTCAGACGCGCGTGCTCGATCACCAACACTTGCAGCAATAAGCAGCCAACCAACGAGTCTCGCATTCTAATTCTAGCACGTTGGTTACTTGCTAAGTGCTCGATCAATGTTAGATTGTCTAGCCCAACCACTCACGAATTATGTTATGTTGAGCTATTTAAATTTATGAAAACAATTAATCGTAAAATCAATACAACATTAATTTTTCTTTTTTTTTTTTTTTACAAAGTTAGTATAAATACTTTGTTATAAAATTGAATAAAAAGCATAATCGAAATATGATTTTGTGAACTCTATATGCCGGGTTCCTCCCATTAATGGAAGAACCTACTTATTCTGTCACATAATATTCCACAATAAATTGAAGAGAGATATATAAGGACTAAGGAGGCACGTGCGGTAACAGAGGAACAAACGTGCAACCCATGTGTGGGCTTGTGCCCACGGCTCACATGAGAGAATCTTGGTCAAAAAATTCTAATTCTAATTCAAGAAACGAATGCACTTGCCTTTAATTGGTATCAAATCCCCATTTGGATTTAAAAATTTACTCAACTGAGCTATTAAACTAAACAAGTATATCGGGAGTTTGGTTCGTCTGGACTTGTTACGACTCGAGTTACAGTCTGCTCGTTAGATGAACAAGTTGAGCTTGAAGTTGCTTAAAGTTTATTTCGTTAAAGAGTCGGATTTGATAAGACTGATTTTTTTTTTTATATATAATCCGGCTCATTAATATTAAAGAACGAGCTGAACTCGGGCTTGATTTCTGACTCATTAAGGGTTGTAGCTCGATCTCGGCTAGATTATAGCGCTACTCAACCGACACCATCTTGCACTTTTCTTTGAAACATGCAAGTTCTAAATGATCTTCACATAGCAAAAAGTAAAAAAAAAAAATAAAAACCGTGTATAGTATTTATTTATTAGTATTATTTTGCCACGCTAATTTGTGAATATATTAATTTGTGTCCTGACTACAACATTATCATTTTTCATTGGCATTAACCAAGATACTTTTACAAACAATCACCCCAAATATTCACCTCACATCTAAAATAAAAATAAAGACAACTCCGTTATAAAAGGGAAAAATAAATATAAAAAAGAACACATCAATTGTAAAAAGAAACATTTCAAAATTTATTGGAACAACTAATTGAAACAATTATCTTCAATGTGAATATATATAAGTATAGTTTTGTTTGCTACTCATTATCGCCTTTGATAATCAATCATCTAATTAGTGGGATAGATTTCACCGGTTAATAGATTTGATACAATTTGTATTTATTATTATTATTATTTTTTTTTTTTTAAAGAAAGGAGATCAAAGCCTAACATATTGTTGTATACAACAGTACAAGCTGTTTATTGCATAATCTATTGTATACTATTATTTCAGGCAAAAAAATACGAGTTGTTTATTGCATCATACACAAGAAAATAAATGGTTTAGTTATTTTATAAAATAATAACAATAATAATAATAATAATAATAATAATAATAATAATAATAATAATAATAATAATAATATTATCATAATATAATATAATAATAAATGAAACAACTGAAATTATATTATGATCCAAATTGCGAGCTTGTTCAATAAAGATTTATCTCATCCCAGCTATATCATGAACAAAACAAGAAAACATTACGAGAAGATTATTGTACGTAAATAAAATAAAATAAAAAAATATGGAGAGAATAAGACAAAATTATAAGGAGATTCATTCACTAAATATATAATTATAAATCTATGAGTTGTCGTTTCGATCCATAATCAAGCCCCTCGTCTCAACTGAGCCCTGTCAATAGATAACAAGTTATATATATTCATGAAAAATTAAACAAATTAAAACACACACACACACACACACTACTCTATAATCTATATATATTGGTGCAGTATATTAAATTTGGAAGATATTTTACGGTCCCGTTATGGAACCATTCCGAGTTTCTAACTATTAGATCAACTATCCACGACGGTTACA